TCTCATTTTATTCATCGACAAACTTGAAAGAGCATAATTAATATTTTATATCTGATTGAAGTTATTGCTTTTATTTTTTGTGTTTCATTTCTAAGTTACAAATGATTAGAATTTTTTTTTTGGAAAAAAAGTAATTATCTACCAAACAGACTATGTATAAAATGATTTAAGCCAAACATAAGGAACACATAAAACAAATTCAACATTCAATTCCCGTAAAATCATAAATTCATTCGGCATAGTGTTGATTTACCGTCTCTAACATATTAAATATAAAATACATTGCGTGTATGTTGCAAGAATCATGCACAATAGCAGTGCAACAACAGATGAAGCGACAATATATGATACTAAACTTATATATATATATATATATATATATATATATATATATATATATATATATATATATATATATATATATATATATCACATAAGTAAAACAAAGGTTGAAAAAATTGTCGAATGAGATAAATAACGTGATTTTTATACTACTACTATTTCGATTAGTAGTGTTAACTGTGTTACTTAGTTTGATTTATAAAAACCTGAACTGTATAAATATATATCTTCAGGTAGAATGTGTTATATATAATGTTTGCCCTTTTTTTACAGATTTATTCTAAAAATACAGTGTAGCGAAGGTTATTAACTGTTTAAATGACAAAGTTTATGCATCTCAGAGCATACATATGTGTGTGAACGTGTTTGTCTGTATAAAAACAGGTTTGTGAGTGTAAAGTGTGGAGAAAATCAGTTTGATACTTATATAACATTTAATTATATTCACATTTTATTTATAAAAGGAATTTTTCGTATTTTCATCCTAGTTAAAAATAGATTATTTCTAACACTTACATAATCATTCAACGAATTGTTATAAAGTTTAAAAATATCTACACAAACTACGCGCAAAAACACAGACACACAGTGTACACCTTTGCAAACAAATGAGGACAGTTGAAAATTAAATGCTGAGTGGTTCAATGGACAATATTATAAAAATTACATTTCACTAAATGTGAAAAATTATTTGAACTTGTTTAAATAAACACTGCGTTTTCTTTTATTAGTTTCGGGTAAATTGATGATTCCAAATACCATCGTGAACGTGATTGAAGAACACCGAATGATTCTGAAAAATAGGTCTATAACAGACAAGAAGTTCTTAAAAACTTCATTATCATACATTAAACTTTAATAAAGAAGTTGACAACTTCACTCTTGGAAAATGAAAATAAAATTTTAACTTAAAAAAATCCCTATTTAAGGTTTCTCAATATTTTCAAAGGTAGCGATGATTAGGCTTAACATAAAAGTGGTTTGCGAAGTGTACAAGAGATCGCTTAAATAATTATGTGATTTTGTTCAGAGATTTTGAAATTAGACACCAATGGCCTTAGTAGGAAATCTACTTTTGCATTACACTGTAATACAAAAGAAAGATGTAAATTCAAGCAGTTTACCAGTCTTGACTGTAAAACTTTCAGCTAATCTAGACATGTGACCTACTACTAGATAACGCTCACGTGACTTATCAAGGTAGGTAGCAGCTTAAATATTCATCATTTCTAACCATCCTTAGGAAGATGTTGATGATTCAGTTAAACTTCCTAAATGAAACTTTCATAAGTTTTGAACAATACAACAACTTGCGTGCATAAAGATATTAAAAATTATTTATGCACATTTTGCATTGTACCTTGTAAAATTTACTCAAGACTTTAGTTACTTTTTAGATCATTAACATCACCCTTTCTAATAAAATGAATTTTTTTAGCAGATCCATGGAAGAGAATTATATTCGGAGGTTTCTAAACAATATTAGACATTATTAATTGTATGTTTATAATTTTAATAATCCTATGTTTACCATCAGTGATTGCACTTCATTTAATCAAAGTCATAATTTATCAAGTATAAAATTACAACTGTGCGTAGAAAGAAGATTGAATAGTGTACATAAGGCAATATTTTGCGCATTGAAATCATTTATCAATAATTGTTAGACCACTATTAGATACCTGGAAGCATTGGACAGCCGTTTCGTTCTGGCATTGTGCTCATTAGCAGTATGCATCCACGACTCATGTCATTCACCTGATTTGAACCCAGGACGTTCAGTATTGCGCGCGAACGCCTAACATCTTGACCACTGGGCAGAAGTCATAGCTGCGGACTGGTGATTGAGTCCCATGCCAGAACGAAACGGATATCCAGTGCTTCCAGGTTTCTAATGTTTGTCTAATAACGACTGACTAATGATCGTAATGTGCGAAAAACACTAATCTCCATAACTCTAATTGAAAAAAGCAATCTTTCTCAATGTATTATGCTCCTTGTTTGTTAATATTACCGTAGTTCTTTACAGATTCACATTTTAAATGCACATTTCGATACATTTTTCCAACTAAACATAGGTTGCATAAGATTTTTTGCAAATCAGTTACAAATCTTAATGGCACTAATATATTTGGGTATAAGAAATATATATTTCAACCATTCGATTCATAATAGACTTATTTGTATCAAATGTATAGCAGAAGGCTATGTGTGTGAATATCGGTTCAGTAATGTAATGTAATACATTCAAATAGTATATTTGGTTATCAGTCATTCATTTTTCGTTTTATTGATTATTTCACTATTCCACTGCTTACATTATACCGAAAAAACTTTCCCTTTTATCATCATCAACCGTGTTTTTAAAAATAAACAATTGGAATAACACTGACCATAAATTACAGTGTTAGAATTACACTTGTTATTGATGCAAACAATTATACAATTCAAAGGGCATTATTTATAATTCTATGAATAAGAACGCCTGTTAAAACGTTATTGTCTTGAATACACTGTATGTTTGTACTCTTAAATATATCTATCATAATAATTCTGTTATTAATATTATTATTATTATTATAACGATGATAACTAAACCAGTCAACCAGTAAACTATGACGTTAGAGGCATGCCAAAAAAAGAGATGGCTAAGACAGAAGGGAAAAAACATCAACATGCATTAATAATTCAATGACCTCATGGTTTATGGGGAGGTAATTTCAATGTGACGGCTACTACCATTCACTGATGTTTAGATAGACATCTTAAAATTTTGACTAATGTACATTTATATTACTCTCGTAACTATAGTAACGTATCAATAACAATGACAATAGACATATTAATTAATCATTATGAAATATTTTGACTGTATTTTTAAATATTTAAGTACATTTTTGACAAAATACAAATCTATGAGAAGAATAATAAATTTTTATTTATTATTGTAGTCAATCAAGAGAAAAAACTACATTAAGGTTTAGAGAATTAATTCATTGCTTGGCTGAGTTTTTTTAAAATGGATTGATTGTTTATGGTTATTGAACTCTCGTGTTTTAATTCAAATAAGACTTGATGCTTCAATAAACACATTAATTATACATGTACATGTAGCCACAAAGGTATATTATTTTACAAATAATTTGTGGTTATGATTGAAAATAATGAATCGTTTGTTTTGAGTTTTTATCAGTGGATCTGTTTTCATAAGCGTTAAACATTTTGAATAACTGTTCACATCTTGTAAATTAGAAGAGGAATTTTGTTATATAAAGAACTAGATATTCTTAAAAATTTAATGTGAAACAGTTTACATGTTGCATAAACGTAATATTACTGAACTAGTTTTATTAAGTTTCGAAGATGTTGAACTGTAAAAATGAAAAATTGATGTATTTGCAACACATTCAGAAATCTTTTGTATTGAGTTTTGTTTTGGAATCTATATGAGAAATGTTGGTTCGATTCACAAGATAGAATATTGATAAGATTATTATTAAGATTTTAACAAGAGCCCAGATCCTATATGATGCAGCTACTTGATTCAAAAAGGTACTCAGTCACACCTTGTACTACTATTTTAGGGCAACAAACTAATATGCGCAGTCTATTCATGACATCTGTCAACAGCCTGAGGACTGTGTAAAAGAACTTGATTTACATTTCATCAGAATATACAAGATTTACATTTACTCCCCAGAACAACCTCAAACTTTATGGATAGTAGCTAAGATTCTTTACAGAACTGATTTCGTACTAACCTTTGAAGGATAGATCTACACACTAGGAATCTATTAGAGCATACTAAAATAAAGGTATACTTTCTACTCCTTAATGTTAGTTGAGTTTTTAAATTTCCTACCCTATGAATTTGAAAAACATTTTAAAAGCCATTTTGAGCAAAGGCTTGATATTTTTTTAAAGACTTGTAAGAATATTTTATATTGATCTATCACAACTAGACAAAATTCTCACTCGTTTTCATACAGATGATTTCGTACACCAAGGTATCGATGACTTTCAATATGTGAACTCGTCAGTCAAAAGTTTATTCTCTCCCACTCATAATAGTTTAAAACTGTTCAAGTTTTGAAAAATACCAATCGGTTAAATTAAAAGTCAAAAATATCTGGTCATTACAATCTAGTTTATAGTCGATCTTATACTGAAACGATAGTTCAATCCTCAAGTAAATGAATATTTTAGACTAGCAAGAGCAAACAAACTTTAAATGAGGATAGATTATCTTTGATTTTTATCGTTAACTGAAATCCGATTTCACACATTTATTCTTAATCTTAAGAAAAAATTCACTGAATAAAGTTTATCAATGTCAAATTTATTATAGTTTTTAACGCAACTTGAGTGTTATTTATGGAAAGACAAAACTGGGTACAAAACGAATCATATGTAAAAATCAAATGAAAAGTCTACTTTATTTAATCTTGATAAAAATGTTTAAAAATAAATTTATAATTTGAGCAATAAAAATTTGAATATTTAGAATGAATCAATAAGATAGTTTTCGAGAAGTACACCACAATACAACATCAGCCAAAAAGTTACATTCATTTTTAAACAAATAAAAAAAAAATAAGGTAATCGACAATTACATTAGACAAATTTTTAAAAGAAAAATTCTAAAGTATTTTACTTACTTGTCGTAATAATTCAGTCTGTGAAAAATCCTCCATTCTGGCTGCTTCTAACACCCATACTTTAGCACCACGCCATCTATTTCCTATGTCTGTTGTCAATGTCATTCTATTCATCATTGATGGCAAATTTAATCTGTTGTCCGTATTTCTATCATAATTACTGAATGAATTCATTGTAACGAAATGATTATTATGCACTGCTGAAGTAAACTCCACCGTTGCATCAGTTTCAATGCTTAAAATAAATGATAATCCAACACTGATGGTAAATAGAAAAGTGTAAAACACTCGAAAACATAAATAAATCATTATGCAAAATTTTTGTGGACATGTTAAACGAGATGATTGAGACTGTGAATTGGTACTATGATAACTGCCTAGTAAATTTGTTGAATAAGCTGAAAATAATGAAGAACGTCTTTGTTGCATTTCACTGTTGAATAAAAAACCAGTTGGTGAACTATGCATTTTCGTGTGTGTATGAAATTTATTGGATCCTTGACATATTTTTAAGATGGCATATATAGTTAACAGGATGATGTAGGTGAGACCAATAACTAGACAAGTAATAATAAATGGAAAATTCATTTTATCAGCACGTAAAGATTCCATACGACTTGGTAAATATTCTTTCAACATGGTGTTATTATGATCGACATTTATGGATTTTAACAATAGAATATTATTCTCTGATTGAAGCGATGTACTGATTAAATAATCGGTAAAACAATCTCTTAAATGAACAATTATTAATATTGATTGTGAAACAGGAGAATTTACAATTGGCAAGTGAATCAATTCAATATCAAATTCAATTTGAAATGGTGCTTTCTGTTCTTCAATGTTTCTAGCAATAACATTGAATTTATCATGTAGTAGAATTAAATCTTTTTCCAATAAAATATTTTCTTGATCAACTGAGGTTAAACCTTGTTTGTTTATGATTGACAGTGATTTTAATGACCCAGTATATACCTTCAAGTGAATATATGTTGATTTATGCGTAGTTGTGCCTTGATAACAATAAAATTAAAAAGTCAATTAAATTTACAAGTAACATAAATGTACATATTACTACAGAAATGAATGGTATACGATCCTTGAAGATCATTCACATTCTGTTTATATGTATTTATATATACTACAGTATTCTTTATTCTTATTCTTATTGGTTGATTATTAGTTCGTTAGTCTTACATTCTATTGGGCAATAGATGCAAATCTAACAAGAAATGGGAAAACTTGTGTGCATTCTGATTGGTTACTTCTTGCAAACTATGTGGTTGTGTTATCTATCATTTAACAGCTATCATATTTACCATCATGGTTGTGATATTTCTATGATTCTGATATTTTTGATTCAAAAAATTATATATATATATATATATATATATATATATATATATATATAATATGCATGTACGATATATAATCTAATCAAATCTTCGTGTGGGACCACAACACATGCACATATAAATGTTGGCATTTTATTTCCTACTGAACTCTTGAATTTTTATACCAAACAATATGATATTGGCATTTTTACATATATATACATCCCACAATAGGAAAACTATTTAATTTATCTGTATAGCTAAGAATTAGGAAGATAAAAAAGATGTAGGATTGTTAATCTCTAAAAACATCTTATTTATAATGTGCTTTCTTTTTTTCAAAACAGAATTAATTATAGGTGTTATATCATTGAACATTGACAAGAGTTTCTACAAATTAATTATCGACTCGTGTTAGTTTTTTTTGAATATCGAAGAATAAATAAACGTACAAAAAACACGTTGTTTAAATGAGGCGCTCTAATGGAAAATGTAAGCAGACCACAATTGAGACCAATGTCCAAGGGAAATGAATTAATTATTGAAATATATAAAATTGAATGGTAAGATGAAGATTACCATTTACCGACAAAGCTCTTCAGATTATCGTGACATCGTGATAAACGAGTAAAGTATCACAATAATTCAAATCTGGAATTTAGGCGGTAGGATGCACTTGTTTACAGAACAGTAAATGTTTATTTTTCTTCAAAGTTAAGCTGTCTAGCTTTCAATTGACAAGTTATTGATTCAGATCACAAAGTACTTAATTATGAATTAGACAACTAGATAAAGTTATTGCCACCAAGCGAGTTTAGAAACAGGTATTATGTAAAAAATAATGTTGTATTATGATAATCACAAAGTAAAGCTTTTCATAAATCATATTGCCCAATCAATATGTCTTTTAAATATAAAATATAAAACTGTCACAACATAACTTTGAATAACTCAAACAAACTTTATAAGTGATCCTTTTTATTTGAAAATTCACTTTATTTATAATATACATTACACTTACTTAACAATAACATCATATTTTTGTTAACTGATGTTATTTGGTTTTTACAAAATATATTTTAATTCATTCAATAACAAAACCAGCGAATATTTTGAATTGTAATCTCATTCTAACATAAGTTTTGAATTAGATGAAATTATTTACCAAGTAAAAGCTGTCCGGCTAGAAATACATTCAAGATTATTTCTTTCTTCAACGATATAATAAAATTGGAATCATGCATCAATCATTGTCAAATCATCATTAAGAACCTGGAAGCACTGGACGGCCGTTTTGTCCTGGTTTGGTACTCATCAGCAATGCAAAACCACGATTTCTGCACTTTTCAGGATTCGAACCCGGGACGTTCGGCCTAGTGGTCCAGAGGTTAGGCGTTCGCGCGCAAGACCGAAGGTCCCGGGTCCGCATCCTGGGAGGTGTAGGAATCGTGGATGAGCACTGCTGATGAGTCCCATACCAGGACGAAACGGTTGTCCAATGCTTCCAGGTTCATAATGGTGGTCTAACTTTGACTGATTGATGATTTCAATAAGTAAAAACTAATCTAATTGAAAATAAAATAAAATGTTGAAATATGCTCTATATATACTATATATATGATCTTTTTTTAACAGTAAAATTCTTTTAAAATGGATAATTTATGACTCCCCTAGATTATTGCTACTTATTAAAATTTCATGATGTTACGAAACAAAGGTGACGGAAAATTTATTGACAAAAAATAGTCTCAATCATATTTTAATGAATTTTCGGAATCATTAGATACATATATATGTAGGAAATGTAAACAAACATACTTAGAACTGACCAACCAAGAGATAAACTACATTAACGTAGTCCGGTTCTCCTCTATTTTAAAGATGCAAGTGATAAAAAATGTATAGTTTTACCGTCCATAATGGATTCTTTCGCTCCCCTTAACGTTTGAATCTAACAGATTAGTCTATAAGATTATTGGAATGGTGTGAAACAACTTTGTGTATACTAAAGAGTTTCAACATCAATATATGTAATTATCCAAAAATGATAATTAGCTCGTATACAGTCTTCTGAATAAACGAATAGTTATATTATGTAATAATTTCCAAAATCATTGTCAACAGAAAACATTCATTGAAAATTCACTAACTCCTCACAAAAGTGTCAATCACTAAAGAAAAAAAATCAATACTATATTTTATTGATTTTTCTCATTTTCAGTTTGACCATATTTCAGAAAAAGAAGAAGAAGAAGAAGAAGTCAAGTTACTTTTCTTAGTGCCAGTTCAATGAAATCCACTTCACTGAATGGTGATTTTCTTTTGATTAACAAAAACCAAGCAAGATTAAAAAAAAATTTCAGCTCTAATTGTTGTGATTTCGATGTTGTTTTTTCTTGCTTCATAAAAATAAATAATTTTATTGTTCTACTTCAGTGAATAACAGTTTTTGTTATATTGATCGGAAATAAATTAAGCTTGTAGATGCATATATACAAAGGTATTTAGCAACTTTTTTTACTCGGAGGAATGAATAAACTATTTCGCAGCACCAGTCTATCAAATGTGTTGTGCATAATTTCGCTTGAGACATAACGTTTGTAACAAAAAATGAAATTATATTTGCGATGAAGTAAAAAATACTACCGATTTTCCGTTGGTTCTTTCGATCAGTTCTATTTTTACACTGATAACAATCATAATAATGAGTGTTATCATTTTATTCGCAATTGAGTTAATCATTATTGAAAAAATAAACATCATGTGCAGGAATAATTCAGTTTTTTTTGGATGGTTTATATAGCCAACTAACAGTTTTCATAAAATTATTGTGAATGAAATGACATTTTTCGTGTGGCTACGTCAGTACTCAACATTATACACGTTCGATTTTACTAATAAATGAAATCAAATTTAACATGGGTTTCAATGAGCTTCATCGTTCTCTTACGAAACTTACCCCACTAGATTATACTTCTTGAATAACATCTTCAAACCGTAATTTTTCCAATCACTGATCATGCTTCTACTACCTCTACCACTATGGGGTTTTGATTCGACAATCATTATGTTTTCATTTAAAGTTATGGAGATAAGTGTTTTTACCCATTTAAAATCATCAATCAATCATTGTTAGACCACCATTAGAAACCTGGAAGCACTGGACGGCTGTTTGTTCCTGGTATGGGACTCATCAGCAGTGCGTATCCAAGACTGCCGCATCTCGCAGCATTCGAACCTGGGACCTTCGGTACTGTGCGCGAACACCTAACCATTGGACCACTGGACCGGCATGCAACGGTTTTAATGTCTAACTCTGTTGTTGACTGAAAGACTAACTGAGGTTTTCAACGAACACATTACTTTTTGATCAACGAATCATAAGTGTAAACCATTAAATATCAACCTATTCGTTCAAGTGGAATAATTTTTATGTAGACTGAATTATTTGAATTTGTTAACTGGTGACTGACATTTCGGCTGTATGCTTATGAGTAATTCTCTGTGCAAGATGTACACAGAAATACACAGTTATTATTATTATTTAACTAATGTAAATATAGAAATACAGAGTAAAATATTTTTTATTTCAATTTACTTGCTTCACATTTATCCTAAAACAACATAATTAGTTAGATAGAAAGTGGCATTGTTTCGAGGGAGAATAACAGACTTACTTTGAAAATGAAATTTTTAAAAAAAATATCAATTCAGTACTACTTTGTAACAGAAAATAATTATCAAAATTTAACATTTTAAACGATGTTAAAAACATTTAATTTGGGATTATTTATAAATAAGAATTAAAGTTCGTACTTTTGGTACTGTCTAACAGTAAAATGAGATTAATTTACATTAAATATAGTAAACCACATTTTTTTACTCTAAATCAGTAATCACAATTCTAAATAATATGGCATTCACTTGGTTATATTAAATAAACAATATTTAACCAACTGAAACTGACGATAGTATATTCGCACAAAGGTTAGGATAGTTGAAAACCGGAGTTAAAGTGTATTTAGTCTTAAACTGATCAATAAGTACAAACATGCAATTACAGTGAATGTAAATCAGATTATATCATTTTCGCATGATTTAACTACGATTTACATCGATGGTTGAGAAATAAATGATTATATTTGAGAATACTAGTTGATCTTAGTTATTTGAATGTAAGCCATTGATACTAATATTCAGTGTTTGATGTCTTATGATTGTTCTGTCAGTTGATATTGATTTTTTTTCGATCACATTCATATGTTTCTATTCAGAATAAAAATAGCAGTACTAATCCATAATAATTTTTTGGTTTAAAGTTTTACAGTTTTGAAATGACAATGCATCAGACTACTGAAATGCTTGAATTATGTCTGGCTGAAGAAATATTAATTTTTTTTCAGTAAATTACAATCTTTGACAGCTCAATCCATCAACGCAGTTTATTTTGAACATAATTTATAGTGTAGAAATTACCTTTGGAATATTTTTCTGGAATTTTCTAGTGTATTCAGTAGCCGGCAATACTAGATATTTTATAAATGAAATGAAAAATCTGTCCAATGATTTCTACTTGTAAATTATTATCCTCCAGTTGATGTCAGCTCATAAAGAAACTCAATTACAAGAGTATAAATTTTGATCGGATTGATTAACATCTTGGACGTGTTGATTTAAAC